GGAACTTGCCATTCAAAATGGTGGCTTCGATAATGTTTTTCATCAATTTTTTAATTACCAATCGCGTACTATTGCATAGCCGTGGTGGGTTCAAATTCCGAAGTAAAATAATCGGTGATCCAACTTTCAGTCGTAAAATGTGTGGTGGCATGCCTGGCAAATCAGGTGAGTTTAAAAACTCTGCTGGATAGTTTACAACTTCGTTGGTATCACAAACTGTATCGATCGATTTGTATGATATTAAGTCGCCTGGCAATGTCTGTTTTATCTTGAAATTTAATTCATCAACGTCCACGTTTTTTTTGCTGCTAATGGCTCTTTCTCCCAGCCACCCATGATTTATGTATTGTATGTGTACATCTGGAAATACGCGGTCAATGAGACCATTTTGGGAATCAACGATAGTGCAGAAATTAGGGGGCAGTTTTATGAATTCAGTATTTTCATAGACAACTTTTCATATCATAGCAAGTTTTCTTTTTAAAAATATAAAAAAATTTATGTCAAAAAAATAAAAAAATTTTTATTAAAGCAATAAAGATATTTTTGCTGGATAGGGACACCCTAATCACTTTAGCGGTATGAAAAATAGATAGTAGCCGATTCCCAGACCTACTGAATACGCATATAAAATTTGGTAAAAATCGGTAAAGACGTTTCGGAGGAGTACGGTAACTAACATTTTGACAATGTTAATTTTATATATAAGATATACATTTATATATACTTACTAACTTAGTTACTGCGGTCTTTTTCTCCTGGTGGATCATATGGCCTTATAAATAATAAAGTAATATTAACGTTAATTAATATTAATGTTAATTAATGTTAATAATAATTATATGTGTCCATGTCATGTAATAAAAGTAATCATTTCTATCTCTCACCAATGCTTTAAGTCATCCTTCCATTTTACACACTGGTTAGATATTTCTCAAGTCGAAGTCATTGCCATTAAGGTAGCTAATTGCAATTCTTGACTGAGATAAGTAAGCAACCAGTTCAAAAACTCGTTGATTACGATGCCAGCGTACCAGGAAATGAAAACTCACAGCTAGATCCAAAGGATTATTAAAATAAAATGATTTTTTAAAACTAACAAAACATGAATGAAGAACGTCAGTCGTGAAATCTAAACTAACACAATCAAGATATAATATCCCAAGAACGAAAACTCTCTTAAGTAAGTTAAGCATAGCAAAAGCGAGTCATTACTTAATGAACAAATGTGCTTTAACATTAACCACTTGCTTTAGCAAGACTTGTAGTAGTTGCAAGGAAAAAAAAGTTATGAAAGCAACAGAAGACTTCCTTGCAAATATTCAGCTCTGACAAAATTACAACATTGCAATCAAAAACTCCTCAAAAATATTCAGACAGTTTGGTTTTTAATAATACAAAAATTTGTTTTAAGACTCTTGCCCCTAAACTAAAAATAATTTATAAAATAAGTATGTTCACATAAATCCAAATTAATTAATACGATTCCATTTTCAATATTTTCTTATATAGCTTATATAGTCTTATATTTAGTAATTCGCACGTGGACTTAATGTTCTGAATTTAATTGTGCGTTCAATTTATTTTTGATGGATACAAATTTTATAATATCTTAAAATAAAATATTTTTTCTCAGTTAGCGTCCAAGGAAGTTAAATTAAAACAAGGTTCGACGAGTTAATTCTTGAACAAGGTTCGACAAGTTAATTCTTGAATGTGTATATAAACACTCGTATATATAAAATTAAATTTTCACATATTATATCTTTTGGAGGACTTTCTAAATTAAAAACTTTTCATTTCATTTGAACATAAACTATTTTATTTGTTATATACTTTTACTATTTCTGTTTTATGTTTTGAATTTATTTTTACAATCATACCTATATAACAAATATTTTTATTAGCTCTTTAAATTTTGAAATTAAACTTTATATTATACAACTTTCCGGATGGTGAGAGATGGGAAAAAGTGAGCTTATAGAGACAAATCTTTTCAATAAAATTTGATATGATTAGGTAGTTAATGCCAACATGATCATTATAATAGCATGAATGATAGTTAGAATCATCCATGCGTAGTGAACTAATGTGTGCAGTGAAACCGACATCATGAGCAGTGGCGGAGCTAGACCAACTCTAGACGTCGGCAACAAGAAAATTGCGATGCCCCTTTCATAACCAAATTATAAAAGCAAATAATTTACATTCTCTAATACGACGAAGCATGTATCAAAATTTTATTGCTAATTAAATTAAAATAAACACAAATCAAAATAAATTAATTTTTCTACTTATAACCTCCATCAATTTTATTAAAATTATATCATAATTTACACCAGCTGCTACTTTCGCTTCAATTGATAGAATTGTCAATGAAGATGGTCTGTCTTGCCTTATCATACTTCTCAAGTAAATCTTAATCAATTTTAATTGAAACTGTGAGCATGACTCTGGTTACTGTATAAACATTCGGATATACTTCCTCTACATTATTTTCTTTAATATACGAGACGAATGCTTTTATATCGTTGATTATGTTATGTCTAGTGAGTTGGATTTTAAAAGCAACAGTTCCTCATACATTTCAATAGGCTGAATTATACCTAAAGCATTACAATACTTGAGGAGGTCTTGAGAAGGTTTGGTATACTGTTCATATGATTAATGTCATATATGAAACCAAATTTTTCAAAATATCCATTAAGTGCTTTGAATCGACAGTCTGTAATTTTTTACCCCTATGGACGTGAGACCGTCGCTAATGCCTACAACATAATCGGAAAGGAAACCTTTTACAGCAGCCAATAAATGAAGAACTTACGTTTTCAGTTAATAACTCATTCCCCTGTTAAATATTCGCAACAGTTTTCTGTGAACTAGGCCATAGAAATAATCTTCATTGCATAAATAAACTTCAATTAAAATATTGGCTATATATTTTTAAAGATAGTATCAAATGACAGAACACAAAAAAACCTTTTGCGATATTTTGGTACCTATACATCTTGAATACTTCAAATAAATACAATAACACAGCAATCGTTTGAAGCATATATGTACTTTGAACAGTATCATTTCCAATTAATACTAGTGATATGTCGTTGTGATTTGATGATTACTTAATACATGTTGTGTATAATATGTTAGATATGTTTATAATAGATTTTTAACAATTATTATTTTTAACGAAATTGAACGATTTTAATTATTTTAAATAATAATAATAACTGATCAATTATTTACTCATCCAAAACATTTGACTAGTATAAATAAAATAAAGTAATACATAGATCGATTTATTCGAATTAAATCAGCTAATAAATACTAATAAAAAGTGTTGTTCGATTAAAATATTTTAATAACGAAAGTTTCCAGGCAAGTTCCTAATAACCAGGATATTAAAATAAATTATGGTAAATCAATTTTTTTTTTTTGTGAATTTAAAGTATTATTTTAAATAATTATATTATAGTGTTAATGATTCTTGTTAATTTATTTATCAATTTTGCATTTATAAACGTTATATTTCTTCTGTTTTTGTAAATTAAAATTTTTATGCACAAATAGCAGAAATCGAAAATTAATAACAACGTAAAACTCTCTGACGTACTTTGTGAAACTCTCTACACAGCATATACAAGCTCCAGACCAATAACCTTCTATAATAGTATATAGTTAAGCCAAGATCTGATCTGCGTCAAACCACATCACTATTAATCACTATTTATTCACTATTTATTCGATTAAAGTGATTAAAGTACAGTTCACACAAATAAATTAATAATAACAATACAAAAATATAGATTATAGAAAGACCACAAGTTGTCAAGCATAAAAATTTGTTATAATTAATACAAATGTCTTTTAGAATAAAAATTTTAGAAGATACTTTACAACCGCAAGCAACGAATCATTTTTATTAAAAATACGGAATACTTCAAGAAAATTTTTCATTGTGTTATAAAGCACGAACCAAGTCGGCGTCAATATTATTACAATATTGTAATAATAATATTACAATATTTTAATAATATTCAGGCTAAGCTCTGCACTAAAAAGCAGTAGACAAAAAATTCCAGTAGACAACTCAGATATATTTGAAATTTTGTAAATCAAATAGCAAATTGAAAATAAACTTAATGAACCTTTTCATAAATGGTTTAATAAATTCATTTTTAAATAAAAAATGTTACGTTCTAAAAAATTATGGAATAATTCATCCACCATACACGAATTCTTCTCATAGCAGTTTCGTCGTCATAGCAGATGTGAAATGTCAAATTGATTCGTAAAATCTGCATTAACCCATTAAGTACCAGGCAAGTTCAAACTTGAAATTTCATGCTGAAATTTCCATAGTAAATAATTAAATAACACAAGTTTAAATAAATGAGAAGAGTTTGATATTTTTATCTAACGACTACAATTTATTTTGCATTATTTTATCTTTATAGTACCATGGGATCTCCTCTTTCGTCTATCGTCTATATTGTACAATATTGTCTATATTGTGCTATATTATACAATATAGACGACAGAACAAAGAGGAGGACGTATCGTAATCCTGATGATGACTCTCAACGACAGTCGAAATATAGAGTTTAATAAACAAATAATAAACGTTTTATTATTTAACAAGAAGGGACCTACAGCCAGAATAAAATTATTCAAAAAAACTATTTTATTATCATTTCTATTAGAATAAGAATTTCTATTAGAATCTATTATTTCTGTGTTTAAAAAAGACTTATTGTTATTACAACTCCTCCCTGAGAAAAGAGTTAAATAAACGTAAAAACGTGGATAATATACATATAGATAACTATCTATATTAAATAAAATATTTTTAATATATAATTTTTATAATAATAAAAAATAAAACCCACTTTATTAGTTTTTGATTTAAAAATTTAAGCCCTTTTTAAAAACAGAAATAACACTTTTTTAAGTATAATCAATCATTTCAAAAATTGTAAATTTAGACCAAACATAATAAGTTGACTTCCTGGGACAATGGAAATAATTATATACAACTCGTTAGAGTTTTGCTGCTACTTTTTCTTTTAGCAGGAAAGGTAAGTAAGAAATATTCATAATATGTATTTATTTGTATAAATAAATATATTTATTTCTTTTAGTCATATTCTTTCTTCAGAATGTCCAAAATTGAATGCTTGAGTGTGGATAAAAATTTAAGTGAATTTGAGTATTGTCGCTTGAAACCCATAAATCGGAATGTATCAGAATTCTCTTTCAAACTAAAGCTTCATGATACCATTAATGACTTGACTGTATATTCTAAATTATAATACTTTTTTGTTTCCATAAACAGTAAAATATTTTATTTTTTTAAGGCGAATTATGAACTTTTACAAAAGTTTAATCGATATTCACCAATTGGCATAAATTATACTTTAAATATATGCAAATATTTTACCAATCGCAAAAATGAAAAGTTTGTGACTATATTTTTTGATCTAATGAACAATTATATAAACCTCAATCACTCATGTCCATTTAAGGTAATTTAAAATATGTAACTTCTTTTCTCTCCATATATAATTAAAACCTTTTTAGGATTACATTCAATTGGAAAAATTTTATGCACGACATGACAGGCTCCCACTACCGATACTCTCTGGTGAATATCTTTTTAAGACATCCTGGTTTGTAAAACAAAAATTGCGCGTTTGTGTTAATGTTTGGTTTAATTTTAAGGAATTGAGAAATTGATATTAAAAATTTCATTTTTCGTATAAATATACATTTTAATCATTTGTAAAACTAAACAAAAGTTAAAATTAACTTTGACAATGTATAAGTTTTGATGTTTGTATTATATTGGCTCTATTGATAATAAATTACCTTCTTTTTTCAACAAAGATCTTATAGGTTTTTCAATTGATAAATCTGGAATCAATTTAGATCGAATCACACTTTATCGGTTAAGTCATAAAAACAGCTTTAGCAAAAAGGGTTTAATATCTGAAAAACAGAATATACTCCTATTTTAAACTCCTATTTTTCGGAAAATAAGATACTGACATTAACCGTATATTAATGATATTAAGCACTTTTTAAGTTAAAGTTGCATTGGTGTAGACTCTTTTTTCACACTCTGTGTCTCTTTAAATTGCACCAATTGTTTTTTTGCGTTAATTTTAAACACTGGCGCTAGGTTGCACATTAGCAAACCATTATGTTTGCAAACTAAACATCTTTCGGCACCGGTTTACAATATTATGCTGGATGATAATTCACTGAACGATTTTACTATCGTAATATAGTACACCTAATAGTTTAATATGTAGTAGCAGTCATAGCGTACTCACAGAGCACCAAGGATATTGCGAATAATTTTTTTCTCAAACATTCCCAGTCCTGCTTCATCTCTCTTTGATAAGATTTATGTACCTTGAAGAAGCATAGGTTGGATAAGTAAACTATATAATATATAGTGGCCAGCAAACACCTCAACAAACTTCATATATCATTTATTTACAATGGTTTAAAGAACATAGAAATGTTTATGATTAACAAATATTTTACGAAATATATATTTGCACATACCCTAAATTATCATCTTCTCTTACACATTGTTGGTTGGTTGCAATAGCAGACCATCCGATGAATTCTATGAATCTCAATTAGCGATTTATATAATTTAAAAGAGTATAGCCTGAATCTATCTCGTCGAATTTAGATAATTTTTAGATCTTTCGTCTTTATCGATGAGCAGTCTAATAAACTGTCAAAGAATTATGTTCCTAAAAACCTATTTCTTTTGTACGCAAAAATATTTACGTGTTTGCAGTGAGGATTATGAGGAATGCGCCGTTTCTTTGCCTTGCAGTGTTCTTTTATTTCTTTTATATTTTTATTGTATAATTATTTGTTTTATTGAAGTTTAAACAGAGTTTATTTGATTTGAAAAAATTTAACAAAACATCCAATTAGGAAATAATAAAAAAATCGTTTACGAATATATATATGAAAAATATCTCAAAACATAAAAGACCTTACTTACAAGCAAAACGCAAATGGAGTAGAACTTGTATAAAGTACGTTGTAGAATTTTGGTTAATTCATGTCAAAGGATGCTTCAACATAAAATGAAGTAGAAAGAAATTAAGGGTTTAGGTTGCTCAACAAGCTCTCAACCCCATTGAAAGCCACAAACATGTACAAAATTGAACAAACTTAAATACAGAATTAAGAAAAATAATAAAGTCTAATAATATTTGCACACATCATGATTATGTTGGTTAATTTGAGTCATGTTCATGGAACTGACATTTTAATCACAATATTAACAAGGAATATACAAATACTTCAGGCAACGCCTCTGGTACGTTATAACGTTTTTAATGACTTCATGTAATTATGTTGTACACAGCGTATGAGTCATGCATGCTTGTGAAAACCTAACGCAGACGGAAAAGTCTCCCGCCATGCGTTCACGCTATTGACTTTTCTTATTGAAATTTATTTGAGAGAAGGACGAAAATGTTTATTTAAATTTTACATTAGCAATTAATCTAAGAAAAATTGAGCCGGAAATTTAAAATTTTAAATATAAATATAAAAAATTTTTTTTTTGTGTTTACAAAATATATAAACGTATACCCTTGAATGTTATGCATAATAATAAAAAATCTAATAACTCAAGGCTATTATGCTCCTTTTTAGGAAAAAATTTGATAAGTTGCTTTGACCTTCAAGTTTGTACAGCCTTCAAAAAATATATGTAATTTGGAAATAAGAAATATATTTTCTTTTAACTGAGATGCAAATTGATTTTATGTGATTGATTACCCACAAACACAAGTCTATCATGCATATTTCTTTGGAAAATTTTAACGAGAATCTTAAATCAATTTAGAAAATTAACAGCCACAAAATGAAAGTGTCTAAAAAATATATGTATTGTATATTTCATAGAGAATAATAACAAAAACAACATTACATATTACCTACTACGCATCAAGTAAAATACAATTACTCATACGTAGTGCCGGCCCTAATAAAGGGGAATGAGTTATATTTATAGCCTAAGTTATGCCCAAACAGAAGCGGTACGGTAGGGTACACTATTTACAATATACAGTACTTATTACAATTACGGTATATGGAAAAAAATAAATCAATCCGGTATAGTACCGCATTTGTTTAGGATATTAAATTGTATTCCAAAAATACTGCATTTGTAACAATTAACCGAGCGGTATAAAGGAACCAGTTTTACAAAAAGAGCTGCCAGTATAAAATTCAATAATCAACTTGAAAAAACTAATTCACATAGAAAAACTCAAGCGTAGAGAGTAAGCAATTGAAAAGGCGCAAATTATAAAGATTTAAAAAAAAATATTGAGAAGAATATTGTAGAACAGTTAGGAGAAGAAGTGAAACTTTTTAAAGTGTATAATAATTTTATATACTATATTATATACTATATAAATTGAAGCAAAAACGGCTGTCTTATATTAAATACTTTTTTATGGAACTATGTTATTATTTGAGACATAAAATATAAATATTTTCTAAATTGATTCAAGCAGTGAAATTACAAAACTCTAAGGTACCGCAGAATTTTTATTTATGTTGCCTTGCTTAGACCGTTACCGAATCTCATATAATATTGCACCTCACCGTATTGTACCACGTCAATGTCATTGTCCCTTCTATTCTCATCGCAAAATAATTACTAGTATGCATTATCGTTCTCGTTTCTTTTAGAAACAAATTAACCATCTTGCTTAAACCTCATCGAAGAAATGACATATTATAACTAATAAATGACATTATTATTTTTAACACAATGTAATTTTTAATTTTATAATTTAATATATAATAATATTTTATATATTCTGATTATTTTTATAATAAATTTTATTATTATTATTATGTTGAGGAAAGTTGAGTTAGTGCACCTGAGCACTTTTACTCTATATTAACTGCGAGGTTTCTTCAAAACCCCTCTTTGTGCCTTGACTGGATTATTATTTATCTCATCATCAGACTAAGTAATAATTGATCTCAGATCTGCATACCTCCCCGAGGAGCCTGTAACAATTCTGAGATTTGATAACGCGGTGTTAGTAAGTCTGTCAGATTTCGCAAATAATTTCAAGGCTCTATCTTTTATGTATTTTTTGATGGGATCAATCTTGAGGTCCCTAAGGATGTCATTCGTCCTAATATACCAAGGAACTTTGAAAAGTCTTCTTAGAGCCTGACGTTGTGCAATTTCTAATTGGTGAATAGTAGTGTTTGAAGCTTTGCTAAACGCTACACAACCATATAGAAGTGACGGACAAATTATTTGGTTATATATCAGTTTCCTGTTTCATTTGTTTTAAAATAATTAATTACTTATTATAAATTTTCTGTTAAAGATTTAGATTTAAGATAGATTTTCAGACCTGTCCAAATAAGGAAAAATATAGAGATAACAGCAGAGATATATTGATTCAAGTAGAGAAAAAACCAATTTTTCAACAACGATAACAGTATAGTCTTTCCGATCTGTTAAAAAAAAGACAAGTTTAAAGTTTATAGAGAAGTTAAGTTGATTCAAATAGAGAAAAAGGTTCAGTAAAAAAATAACCCGTCTTGAACATAGTTGAATTAGTTCTAGATAAGAAAATAAACAACTTTTTCTGCACCTCTAACAATGACTTTGAAAAGAGACATATAGGTATTATTATGAATTATGAGAACTTATGAGAACATTCTGTGTTCTTTGTTAGACTGCAAGTTGTATGAAAGGAATTCTTTATTTGTCATTACTCTAACAATTAATGTCACGTTATAGTAGTTCAAGTTTTTAAATAGTGTTATAGTTGGTAGGTAAAACAAGTGAAAGACTATGTAATCTGCCCCTCTTAATTATCTTGAAGGCCTTTTTCGAAAACATACAAGCTTTCCTTTGATTTGAAAATTAGAGATATCGTTAAACGAATTGAAGAGATCTGTGCTCATGTGTAACAGGTAACAACGGAAAACCTAAGTTCGAAATACTTAGAACAAAATAGAGATATATGAATATACGAAACCATTGACCAGAAATTACAGTAAAACACTCTTGCATAAAAAGATCAGACTGTCCAGAACTAAGTCACGAGTTAGTCTAACTCACATGGAAAATATATTCAAAACTAGAAATAAACAAAATATAGATATCCATTTCGATTTTTTGGAATATATCTCAAGTTCTAGATTATAAGTACGTGGACAACAGGTAAATCCGAAGCGTTGGACCTGGCTGTTGTATTTAAATTTAACTAATTCCTATTAACTAGTCGTACAAAATAATCAAAAGATGATTCCAGTATAAAAAGTTTAAAAATTATTAAAAAATTTTTTGTAAAATTTCTCCAGAAACTTTTACCTAAGTTTTATAAGTTTCATATTATTACATAAAACTTTGCGTTTTTCAGTGAGTGGAATTATCGATTAATACACAGTCTGGGTTTATGTTTTTATTACTTATTTTTATTAAATTAAATAGAGATAAGAATCACTTTACAACTGTCTTCTAAATTAATTATTCAAACGACAATGTGACCAAATTTTGGAATCATAAAGCTCGATTTATCCAAAATTAACTCATATTAGCATAAGGCATTGTATAAAAAATAAATCCAAAATAGTCATTCAACAAATAGATTATTTAGATTATAGTTGAT